GGTGACAGGATCAGTGAAGATTGGTTATTCAGAAATACTGTTGACTGAGAACATTTCATAAGTTGGAATTATAAATTAGAACTGCAGGCTGCCCTCAAAAAAATAAAAAAAATTAGAACTGTGGAGATAGAATGGAGATAGAACTGGGCACAGAGATACTAAGAGCTAATGGTGTTATAGTCTTGTCATGTTTTCCTAATTACTGTTTAAAAGATACGAGAAATCAAGGAGGAATAGTTTAGTTATAGCAACCATGATTCCTACAATCTGCCCTTTTAGTTTGGTTTAATTCCGTTATCTTGTGTATTTTTAGGATGGTAAGGGCTGAGCCCCTTGCTATGAGTCTCCTACAGGGAGTGTTAAGTGCCTCTTGAGGCTCAGCTCCTTAGGGAGTATTTATGTCCGCATAAATAACGAGCACTCGTAGAGTAATAAGGAATCATGGTAGCAGGACTTGAAGGAGAGAAACTAAGCCCAGTGCCAGGAATGTTCCATGGAGGGGTGAAACTGTCCCGTCGTTAGTACTTGGAAGCTCTCTAGAAGGGGGGCGGCTGCTGCTGGTGTGCCTGAGGACGGAGGGCCATATTTGTAAGTGATTCTGGTACCCCAACTGAGGTTTAGGAGCAGCTTCCGAGGACTGCAGGGTAGATGGCATTTTCCGGAGATTCAGGTTTCCACAGGGAGGTGAAAAGTTCAGTGCAGTTTTCCGTGGATCTGACATTCCAGAGGGCAGTGGAAAAGTTGTAGGAAGGTAAGAAGTGGGTGGCTAGAGCAGAGGAGAGTAACAGTGGAGCGGAGGACGAGACAGGAGAGCAGTGGCTGGGTCCCAGAGGCTTGTGTTTGTGGGTGGCCAGGAGGGTGGAATTACAGTGTTTTACTTCTCATAATGATTGGTTTTCCTCCTACCTGTTCCTATTGCTTTCTCCTTTCCACAGGAGCTCCTGTACACTCTCATGCTGTCGCTTCCCTTACACTGTTCTTCTGCCTCACTGACCGTCACCCGGCCCTTTGGCAGCCCCTGCGGGTGTCTCTTCCCTGCTCCAGCTTGTTCACGTCCAGCTCTCCTGGGCCATATCCCCAGCTCCTGTGGAGCGGGCTTTCCTGTTGGACCCCGCTGGCAAAGTCTGGTCCCTGGGCGCACACTTGGAACCTGGATCACTCTGCTTAGCATAGCTGGAGAAAATCAAATTCCGCTAGGCAGAATTGAGGGCTGACATAGCCTCCTGATCTGCAGCCTCGCCCGGCTCTCAGTGCTGCCCAGCAGATCCTCTCCTTCCTTAGGCAGTTCTGTCTTCATAGTGGCCGCTTCACGTTTCTGAACCCCCACCCCGCGCCCCACCACACCTGTGCACTGCACGTGGCCTTGCCGCATTCTTCGCAGATGAGCATCGCCTCAGCCTCCTGCCATCGCGCCTGTTTCTTCTCTGCCTTTTTTCCAGATATGGCTGGGTCTCTCCCATCTTTTAAAGTTCTTCATACACACACCTCTCTCCCTCAAGCCCATTTTCCTTTCTCAGTACTGTCGTATTGCCTTTTTCTTCATGGCCAAACTGTTTAAAATGTGTCTGTACTTTGTTCCCTGCCCGTATTCTTCAGCTTGCTTTGCTGCGTTGGCTTTGGCCCTGTCACTCCTCTGAGGCTCTTCTTGCCAAGGCATCTGTGCCGTCATCTTACTGCTGATCCCAGTGGACCGTATCTAGTTCCGCTCCTCATCGGACCTCTCTGATAGGCACTGATAAGCACTTCTTCCTAGAAATGCTCATTCCCTGGTGTCCTGGCTTCATATTTTAAGATTCTCTTCCTACCTCTTACTTGGTGAGCTCCCCTTCATCTGCCCATCCTTAATTAAAAACTGGCATTCGTCAGGCTTCTCTTCTAGGCCCCCTTCGCTCCTCTGCTGCCTTTTACCTTCCCACCTACTGCCGAGGACTCTGTTTCCTCCCTAGACCTCTGACCTGAGCTTTAGAACAGTACCCCCAGCTACTTGTTGGACATGTGAGAGGCCCGCCATGGTCATGTCCTGAGCAACCACCCTCGTCTGTTCCTTGGTGCTCTGAAGGGTGCTGTGACTCTATCCAGTTACCTAAAGCAGAAACCTAGCTATTATTTTTTTTTTACTAAATTTGTTGATTTGCCTGATTCCCAGCATTACTAGCCCTTCTGTATATATTCGTATACGGAGTATCCCCCCTCTTTTGTTCCTTTACTAGTTCAGCCGTAGTCATTTCTTACCCAGAAAACTATAGCAGTCTAACTGGTTTTCTTGCCTCTCATATTCCCTTCCCTGATAGTAGTTCCATTTGTATACTCCAAAAGGAAATTTTTTATAATGGAAAACCAGATCATGTCACTGTTTAAATTCTCCAGTGGTTTCCTACCTCTCAAAGTCAAGTCCAGACTCTTTACCATCTGAGTTCTGCTGACTTTGTCAGTTTTATTACCCATTACTGTTTTTACTACATTACGCCACATTTCACTGAACTTTTATACCCTACAGGGCAACACAGTGTTCTTATTGCTACTTCCCTCACCTGTGCCTACTCTTCCCTAAGACCTCTGCATCCTTAATTATTCCCAAGTCTGGGAAATTTCCCTTTTCTGTGTCTTTAAACACACACCTTCTATAACAGCAGTTTTTTAAAAAAAAAAGATTTTATTTATTTATTTGAGACAGAGAACGTGAGAAAGAGCATGAGCAGAGGGAGGGACAGAGGGAAAGAGAGAGAGAGAAGCAGGCTCCCCACTGAGCAGGAAGTCTGATATGGGACTTGATCCCAGGACTCTCAGGATCATGACCCGAGCCAAAGGCAGCTGTTTAACCGACTGAGCCACCCAGGTGTCCCTATAACAGAGCAATTTTCAAGCCATAGTATAATGGACTGCTTTTTATAATCCCTGAATGTATCGTGAGCTCATTGAGGGTAGATATTATATATGTCCTGTCTTTGTTCTCTGTAATATTCCTAGCACCTAGTGCATAGCCTCTCATAAACAAGTACTTATTTATTTAGGAACAAATAGATGAGGTAAATTGTTATAGTTGCACAAAGCAAGGCTGCTCAAAGGATTGAATATGGACAAGTTGAAGGTTTGAAAAAAGACTATCAATTTATAGTCCTTCCTAGCACTGCAGTAGGAACAGTGTGTGTGATAATAGTTGTAACTTCAACATTGAACTAGAAATTGGACAAAGCACTTGGCCACAGGCAAGGTATTGGGGTCAGAGCAAGAACCTGAGTTTACCAAATCAAGACTTAACTATACATACTCCTCATTTAAGCAAGCACCCGAGATTTAACAAAACTAGGTTTTGTCTGGTGAATGCCTCCTTTCATATGCTTGTAGGATTCAAAGTTATTTACCCACTGCCAATTTTTAGAATCCTATTTCTGCTGTTCTTTAATACAGAAAGTTAAGCCCTTGCAGACTGTAATATAATCTCGATCTCCAGTTATATCTGGAAGCCATTTTAAGCTTTGTGGTCTTCTGTTTTCTCATATGCATCATAGTCAACTAAAGAAAAAAATTAAAGAATTGTTAAAAAAAAAAAAAAAGACCCACAGTTGCATTCAAACTTGATTGCTTTTTACCAGCTTTCACCCAGCACCAAAGTATTTTGATAGTGTCCTGTGTGACACTTTGTGTGTTATCCATATACTTCTTCAAGTTTCTGTGGTAGTCACTGTCTTTGGACATCATTGCGTTTGCTTATTTAAAGTTTTTTCCCTTAGGCTAAATTCTCAGAGATGGGACTACAGGGTCAGAGGGTATAAAAATTAGAAGTCTTTTGCTTTGGGACTGTGTAACTTTCCAAAAGGGTTATACTAAAAGTTCGCAGGAATATGAAAGTACAAGGTTTCTGAGTGACAAACATTGGAGTGAGTGATGTGAAGGGGTGAGGGAGGGGGAAGGGAGAGTTGTATGTGTAAAATCTTACTGATTGTGGTTTAGTTTATATGAGGTGTCACCAAGGATTTTTTTTTTTTAAATGTGGAGACATAATGTGTCAGATGACAATATATTTAAATAAAAATACCCTCTAATTGAATAATTGAAAATTTGTACCTGTTGCAACTTCCTAGATATTCTAAATTTCATAAAAGCCAGAATAGTTAAGAGCTGGGTACATAGGCTGAATTATTTTAACTCTTGTTAGAATTGTTTATATTGCTGTGTACTTTGCTGCTGTGCTGTTAGCCTTTACTGAGAGAGAGTTCCTTGAAGCTCATGTTTTTGGTGAGTTGGAGAGTGTGTTTTACTGCACCATGTAATAGATGCTTTGTGAAGCCCCTGGTGAAAAAGTTCTTACATGCCCCAGTGCCACAAATTGTTGTGTTTTTCCCAGAGTATGTGGTTTCTTTCTGTCTAATAAGAACTGTCAGCAACGTGCAGGTTCTGTTTCAGTTGCTCAAAGCAAAAACTGTGATCTGCCTCTAGTCTTTCCTTTTAGATGTGGTTTTGAGTTTAGATTTTGTCAACTCTATATTCCTTTTGAGAAAGACTGTTAAAATTTTGTTAAAATTTAAAGAAAATTGTTAAATCCTTCATAAAGCATTCTAGTACAAATATGATATTAATGAGAATTTCTGTTATTTATTCCATTTATGCCTTCGAACACTTCTGGTTTAGAATTTTGTTCTATTAAAATTCACCGTTAAGCGGTAGAGAACCCCATTGCCCTCTAGGTGGTGACAAACCTGTTACACAGGTCATTTAAAAGCAGAAGTTAAATGCAAAAAGCATTGTGGAATAAAATATAATAGAGTATTATCACGGTTTATATATACCTATTTACTAAAGTACTCGAAGTTTTTTTTTTTTTTTTTTTTCTTCCTGAGGAATAGAGAGCAAGAGACTTGACAGTTTTGCTCTGGTGAGCTCTCTCGTACAGCAATTCTGTTTCTGTGATTAAACCTTGATGGGAAATCTGTCAGTGAGTTGTTTATGCTGCTTGTGAGAAGTCAAACTGTAGAGCTTATTTTTTCCCCCTTCTCTCTCAGGTCATTTGGATCCAGGATTCCTAGCAAGTGACAAGACCTCAGCTGGCAATGCACCTCTCAATGAAGAAATTAATATTGCCTCTTCAGATAGTGAAGTGGAGATTGTGGGAGTTCAGGAACATGCAAGGTAGGATATTAAGTGGAGCATTCTGATATTTTATTCATTTATTTATTTTTTAAAAAGATTTTATTTATTTATCTAACAGAGAGATAGCATGAGTAGGCAGAGGGAGAGAGAGAAGTAGGCTCTGCTGAGCAGGGAGCCTGATGTGGGGCTCAATCCCAGGACCCTGGGATCGTGACCTGAGCCAAAGGCAGACGCCTAACTGAGCCACCCAGGCACCCTGCATTCTGATTTTTTTTTTTTTTAAGATTTTATTTATTTATTTGACAGAGAGATCCCAAGTAGGCAGAGAGGGAGGGGGAAGCAGGCTCCCTGCTGAACAAAGATGACCTCCCCTCCCCCGATGCAGGGCTCGATCCGAGGACTCAGATCATGACCTGAGCCAAAGGCAGAGGCTTAACCCACTAAGCCACCCAGGCATCCCGCATTCTGGTATTTTAAATGTAAATTTGATTTTAACCTGAAGCCAAGTGAGAAGAAAATGGTAGTCCTCATGGCATGGCTGGCATGAACGGTGGGAACTATCTCTCAGCTTCCTTTGGCTTAAAAAATGCCTTTTGATTAGACATGATATGAGCTTCAGTATGTGTTGCATATTGTTTCATCAAGAACTTCTCAACCATATAGGTATGTGAACTAGAACTAATTTTCCTCTTTATTTTTAGCAAATGTCTAGATAGCTTGACAGATTTTTCTCTTATGGCATAAGTATCACCCTACTTTCTCCTCTACCATTCATATTTTCTTGCCGTTCACTTTATCTGGAAATATATTGGGAGCAAGCAATTGGGAAATATACATCAGACATCATACCTCTATTGCTTGTTTCCTAAAGCAACTCTCCTTGTCTTTTATTTTAAAACTTGAGTTACTTCAATTTGTTCCTAATGTAATAGATTTCTAGTGATGTTCATGTGACTCAAGCAGTCCTGTTTTAGTATTAAAAAAAGCCAGAAGACATCAATTTTGTGTAGCATTATGAAAATTTTTGAAATTTATCATTCTTCATGAGCAAACGGTAGCCCATGGGTTAAATCTGTTCAGCTGCCTGTTTTTATATGGACCTTGAGCTAAGACTGGTTTACATTTATAAATGGTTAAGGGTCAGAGGAGGGGGGATCAAAAGAAGAATAATGTTTTGTGACATGTGGAAATTATATGAAAAGAAATTCAATTAAAATACATTTATCCATAAATAAAATTTTATAGGAGTGGAACCATATTGTTCATGTGCATATTGTCTGTGCAGTGACCGTGTCGGTAAGTTTCAGCAGCTGCCTTAGAGCCCTCAAAGCCCAAGATATTTACCACCTACTCCTTCGTAGGGAAAATGTACTGACTCTTCCTTTAAGATACTGTTCCTGAGAATTAGTTATAGCTCTCTCAGAGGTACCCCTGAGGAACATTTAACACACATATGCATAAAGAACAAAAATTTAGACTTTAAAAAATGTGTGTTCTATATTAGCAAACAGTTTTTCTCTTGGCCCACAAGAGTTAAATTATGATTTCCTGATTGCCCCAAGTAGGTATTGACAGAATATCTATGTTACCTGGCTTTTATTTTACTTATTTTTCTTTTTAAAGATTTTATTTATTTATTTGACAGAGATCACAAGTAGGCAGAGAGGCAGGCAGAAAGAGAGAGAGAGGAGGAAACAGGCTACCAGCTGAGCAGGGAGCCCAATACGGGCTCGATCCCAGGACCCTGGGATCATGACCTCAACTGAAGGCAGAGGCTTTAACTCACTGAGCCACCCAGGTGCCCCATTACCTGGCTTTTAGATCTGATTTTACTCTTTGGTTAGAAATAGAACATTTGCCAGGATTTATTCTGTCATGTATATAAAAGGCAAACTTAGGAGTGGAGAATGTAGGCAAAATACATATGTGTGTAAATTGAGGCTACATTTGTCTTCATGAGAACTAATCCTAATTTCCTTTCCTTTCTTTTTTTCTTTCTTTTTTTTAAAGATCTCATCTATTTATCTGAGAACGAGACAGAGATAGGGAGAGAGAGCAGGAGCAGGGTGGAGAGGAGAAGCAGACTCCTCACTGAGCAGGGACCCCGATGTGGGGCTCCATCCCAGGACCCTGGGATCACGACCTGAGCCAAAGGCGATGCTCGACTGACTGAGCCACCCAGGCGCCCCGATCCTAGTTTCTGAGAGCATTTTTCAGGTCATACCTGTTGGGACGTTAAGGATGTAGAGTTAAGTCATTGTTTAGCATGTCTTCTCCCCAAAAATGGCCAGTTCTCAGATGTTATCAGACCTAAACGCTTCCTCTTCTGTCCTGTGTTTATGCCGTAAGTATGTCTGCATGGCTGCTTCCTTTTTCCTTTCCTGTTTTTAATGGTTGTTTCCCATGTTCTGGTGGGAAAGAGTTTTCATTCTTTAGTCTTTCCTTAATCTCCTTCTTTTTCCTTTTTTTCTTTGCCTTAATCAGAACTTTTTCCTGTTCTCTTTTTTCACCTGTTCCCTGCATGCTGACTTATCCCTCAGATGACAGGGTAGAGCTTTTGATTTTTTTCCTTTACTTTAGTATGTATTTGCCATTATTTATTTCACCGTTGTTCCTTAAAATACAGAAGATTATCCTTTTAAATCCCTACTATAAATCTTGCTTGCCTATTAACAAATTGATAGAGGTAAATTATTTTCAGTTTTGCCAGGAACACATTATCTATTCACCAACTTCCTCTTGAGTTACATTTCATGTTTTAATTCACTGTTAGTCATGTGTTCCTACTGAAGTAGCAAAGAACAGGTAATAACCTGTGTTGCTTACCTGATCTCTTTGTCCCTGAGACATATTACTTGGCCCCGTTCTCTGTTAACTTCTATCACATCTCCCTTCTTTACTGTTTACTTCTGCCTACAAGTGTTACAAAGTGAGCCACCTTTCTTCTTGGCTTCTTTGTTCAACTTTTCTTCCATCATAAACTCTTTAGCTTCTTTTTTTCTACCAGTATTTTGGTATTTGGAGTTAAAATTATCCTTATATTTCCGTTTAAACTTGGAAATTTAAATAGTAAGTTCTTACCCACCACACACACACACACACACACACACACACACTCACTCACCCCCACATGTTAGTACACTGGTCTCCATACTTAATATGTCTTTTATCCATATTGTCATTTTATTCTATAGACTTGTCTGTTCCACCCTTGAACTAAGTCAAGTGACTGCCTACATTGTAAATAACATGCCATAATGTTACTTTCAAGGAGTTTTTCCTTGCAGGCTCTGAATCATCAGTATGTGTTTTATTCTGATCCTTTGGGTTGAATCCGGTGGAAATGCTCTCTTAAAAGTGACAAACTGATTATGAAATCTCAGTGATGGTGAATACTGCTCATCTGATAGAATGTCCAGTTGGCAAGTTTTGTTGGAGTATTTTGAACTGACTCCTGTGTCATTCTGAGGGGTCCTTTATTTTGCTTTTTCTGCCTAGGACTGAATAGAGTCTCGCTGGCTCTTCTGTGTCTTTCTGAACATTTTTCCAGTACTTTTTTTTAGAGGAAGCCTGACAATCTTTCAAACATTTGAAATTAAAAATCCGAGAAGCAGGTGTGGGGAGAAGCTTTCTTGTTGGCTGCTTCGGAGTTACCGCTTTGGTTCCTGTATCTCATCCGCAATTTATTTCTTTTACAGGTCTAGGGTTGCAGTTATGAAGTATTGATGGGCTTCTGGCAGGGTTATCGCTTGGAAAAAAGGTTTTAGGTTTTGATCCACATCTTTTCTGATTTGATTTGCATGCATAGATGTTTTGTTTAGATTTAGTTGTCCCTTTCTTATTTTTTCTTTTGACATTCTACCTTGCTGTGGGCTTTCTGAGAGTTTTGAAAAACTCAGACTCAGTTCTTGAGTTATTCTCTTTGGGATTGTGGTTGCTCTGACTTGAGTTGCGTTGCCATTTTTCCATATTGGAAGCATTTTGTTTCACATGGACTCAGTAGTTCTACTTACGATGTGTCTTTTTTTTTTAAACAGTTTTTCTTTTCTTGCACGTTAATATCTTTCCCGGCTCTTTAAATGTAGATTTTGAAATGTTCTTTTAGTTTTTGTGTTTCTTCTAGTCATAGACTAGAAAGCATGCCTTCTGAACTAATGGTTTGAATGCATCTTTTATGGCTGTCTTGTGTTGCTGTGATTAACTCCTATTGTTACCTAAATGTTATCATTTCTAAATGTTAATTTTGGGACAGTCCATTTTTACAAGATGTTCTTTGCCAATGAGATAGAGACTTTTCCAGCACTCTAGTTCCTCTGGTCCTTTAATTTTGTCAGAAGTTTTAACTTCTGGCCCTCTTCCAGTATTTTTCTTTGTCCTTGGTCCTTTTTCCTTTTCTTCTACTAGCCTCATTGGTAATTGCCCTAAGAAGTTGAGTGCATGTAGAACAGACCTCTCTGTTATGGAACTGTTGAACAGTTTCTTTGGTACCTGTCCTATGAAGCTTTGGGGAATAATCAAACCCTTAACTCATTTCACTGTAGTCTTTGGTCCTGTGGTCATTTGTCTTAATGTTGGTTCATCCTTCCCTCAACAGAAGAACTGATGCTAGAAGCCTTCTGCATTTAAGACTGACTGCTTCCTAGAACCAGTTGCAAATGTTAACCTTAAAAAAACAAGGGAGCTGTACAGATAGGCATTTCCCTGAAGCCAAGGATTCATTTCATCTTCAGTTAGGAAAAATAAGTAGGAATGTTATCTAAGAGGTCACGTTCATGCTTTGTAAATGAGAGCAAAAATGATTAATGTTTAATGTTGTTTTCTTAGGATAGTAGGTTAACTGTATCAAAAGCTGACCATCAGAGCCTGCCCTCTTTCTGTGTTTTTTCTTTTCCACTGTGAAGTCTCTCCTTTATTGGTTTCAGTATATGAAGAGCAGGAAATTATTCTGTCAAAACTTATTATTTATAAACTAGGTTTTTTTGGGGGGGGGAGTCCTAAGCATTTTCTTGGATATAGTACTCAAAGTATGACTTTAGGTTATGTTTTGTGCCTGTTGCCCATCATAAACAGATCGAATGGCTTTGTGAAAGCATAGCCTGTATCCGCACTAGAATTGGATTGGAACAGTTAAAAAACAGCTGTGTGTGTTTCCACGTCAGGTCTTTCATCGTACAGAAAAGGGGTTTGTGGTAATCCATGAAGCTGTATTTTATGTTTGTAGCTTTACCAGAAATTTGAGCCTCTTACATCCTTCTCTATAGGGCATCTCTATAGGGCTGATAACAATTGTACTGGTGCCTTTTCCTCCTGAATTTTTTTCCCTCCCTATCTGGTATAAGTTGATCTATAACGTATACCATCTTATAAAACAGTGGGAAGGTTTCTCCAGCACTCTTTTGTTTATCAGCTTGAGTCTTTTTGCCCTGTACTTAAAAAGGATGTGGTAAAAGCCTTGTTCAGGCCTCATCCATCTCTTAGCTACCATTTTGTTCAAGATGATTGAGGTCATTAAATCACAGATTTCTTGAATGTTTTACTGGCTTATAACACACACAGGGAAGTCGTAAGTGTACACTTTAGTTTTTGCAAACTGCCTACACTGGTAACTAGTGCTCTGATCAAGGAACAGAAGTCCCTCCTGTGCCATCTTCCATTTACAACCGCACTAGAATTGGATTGGAGCAGTTAAAAAAACAGGCTACCTGTTTTGCCTCCCTGTGACCACTAGCCTGACTTCTAAAAGGAGAGTTTTGCCTATATTATTCAAAATCTTAAAGTCAACACTAACCTTAGAAGTTGTCTTAGAGTACTCTTTAATATTCCTGACAGATAGCCTAGCACTTGCTTGAACATTTAAAAGGCAGTTTATACCATTTGGTAACCGAAGCTGTACTTGTGGTGTAGTAATTATCATCTAAAACTTCCCTCCAGGGGCACCTGGATGGCTCAGTGGTTTAAAGCCTCTGCCTTCAGCTCAGGTCATGATCTCAGGGTCCTGGGATCGAGCCCCGCATTGGGCTCTCTGCTCAGCGGGGAGCCCATTTCCCTTCCTCTCTCTTTGCCTACTTGTGATCTCTGTCTGTCGAATAAAAAACAAAACAAAACTAAAACTTCCCTCCATAAACTGATTAATGGTTGGTAGGTTGTTCTCAAGATCTCTGCACACGGTGGAGTAGCCACCTTCTCCCATGGTGAGTCTCCATTCTTTGGGAATTGACCTTCCATTGCAGCTAAATAGGAGCCCAGAAAGCTTTTGACAGAAGATGGGATCATCACATAATCCAGAGAATCTAAAATTTTGAAATGGGAGAAACAGACTGAGAGGGTTGAGGCTTGATTCAAATGAATGAGACTAATTATTCCATCATCCTTAGGTTCTTTGAGGTGCTTGAGTGTCTTTCCATCAAATTTGCTTTTTTGCTTAAAGTAGTCCGAGTTGGAGCGCCTGGGTGGTTCAGTGGGTTAAAGCCTTTGCCTTCGGCTCAGGTCATGATCTCAGGGTCCTGGGATCGAGCCCCGAATCGGGCTCTCTGCTCAGCAGGGAGACTGCTTCTCCCTCTCCCTCTGCCTGCCTCTCCACCTACTTGTGATCTCTCTCTCTTTGTCAAATAAATACAAAAATTAAAAAATAAATAAAGTATTCCGAGTTGGTTTCCAGTAACTGGAATCATTTGTAACATAACTACAGAAGCAATCTAATTCAGATAGTTGAAGAAGTGCCTCACCTCCTTATTCTCCTCTCTGTGTCCATCATTCCGCAGTGCTATATATTGTCTTTACACCTCTCACTCTCCTCCTCTTGAGTGTATTCTAGAATCTGCTTTGCTGTTTATTGAGTGATTCCCAGGGGCCATGCTCCTTACAATCAGATGGAGTATACTGCGTTAGGTGCAGTCTGAGGAAGGCGTACTTAATGGAAAATGAACTCCCTGATGGAGACCTTTTTTTGGGTTCGGTGCTTAACTTGCTTAAGACCCTGGGCAGTTGTCTTTTGTCTTTGGTTTTCTCTTCAGTAAAATGAACAGTATGGATCCAGTCCCTTTTATTTTATTTTTTAAGGATTTATTTATTTATTTTAGTGAGAGAATGCACTGAAGAGAGCAAAAGTAAGCATGGGGTGGGAAAGGCAGAGGGAGAGAGAAACTCTCAAGCGGACTTCTCTCTGAAATGGGAGCCCAACCCTGGGCTCAGTTTCACAACCTTGAGATCATGCCCTGAGCTGAAACCAAGAGTCAGACGCTTAACCGACTGAGCCACCCCGGAGCCCCTGGATCAGATCCTTTTTAAGCTACTCCCTTGTACGATTACTTAGGGAGCAGTGCAGAGTAACAGTTGGGACTAAATAACTCTTTTTTATTTGGAGATATTTCTGGGAATTCTGCCAAAGATTACACTGATTCTCTCTGTAGCCATTCATTCTCTGAATTCTGCTAAGTTCTAGCCTCCTTTGATTAGTACTTATACAGATGAGCTTTTGAATTTTTGAAGAACTTTTGTATTTTTAAATTGTTAATCTGGGCCTATTTTTGCACTCTGCTTTGAACTCACTGTGTTTGCCTTACCTAATTTAATACACACATTTGTAAAGCAACAACCCGATGTGAAAAGCCAGGACTCAGGATCAGACCTGGCTTGAAGCTCCGTGGCCCACCACTTTCAAGCACTGTGACCCTGGGCAAATCATGTAATCACTATAATCCTCAGTTTCCCTTTTGGTTGAGTGTGGGTAGTAACTTCGGCATTTGTTGGGATTGTCTAATGAGGTGAGACTGCTTAAGAAACTCAGTAAGCTAGTGCCATCAGTCATCAGAACCATTTCTGTAAATGCTGAATGGACTCCTTCAGCTGACATTTTCTGTGATTACAAGATCACTTCATCTGAGTATACTTAATGGATCGGACAGATCTGGATTAGCCTTTGGACTTTATGTCTCACATTTTAGTGCTTTTCACTCACTAATCTTTGAAAACATAGTAACCCAGAGGTTAATAACTACTTAGCCCGTTCTGTACAGATAATGGGCTTCTGATATGGTAACAAATCTGCGTTCTGCCCCTTGCTCTGGCCCTGGGGGATCTGTTTTTTGGCACCTCTCTTGGTAAGGGAGTAATTTTCAGGCTGCTTTTGTAGGAGCAGGGAGTCTTTGCAGGATCTTAAGAGTCCTTCAGCAGTTTTGCAACTAAATCTTGCCCATTGTTACCCTAATGTTCTTTTGCGTCTGGTAGTGTAGGTAGCAGTGGGTCAAAGCTGGAATTCTCCAGTGATCCAGCACCACTCATTGTACGCAGCCTGTTAGAGCAGCTACTCAAGACCCACTATAATAGTTTATGTGACTAGAATCCTGCCAGCTGCCACTTTCACATAGGATCTGGTCAGTTATTTAGGAGTGAAGACAAAAGTAGCAGCGAAAGCCTGAGCGGCCTACCTTCCTCTCATCCGAATCCAGAATCACTTAGTGATTCATCGGGAGGCTCACAGTTCTATCATTTGATTGGAGTGTGGAATTCATGATGTCATTGTTTCAGAAGCAGTTTCCTTCCGTTGAACTCTTGGTGAGATTTATCACCAAGGCAGTTCTGTCCCTCTGATAAAATACTTCTAGAGGACTTCAACCGAGCACTTCGGCCTTGATACTTTCCCTCAACGAAAACACATAGGCAGTTCAGATGCAGGAGTCAGGTGTTCTGTTGTGACCTTCGGGATAAGGGAAATTGATCTTTATGCATGACCTAGTACTTACAGACTTCCAGAAATCCAGTCTGTAAAGGGGTATTACCGCTACTGTCTTGGAAGGTATTATTCCCAGTGTGGCACAGAACTTATTTGGTAGAATAGCTTGTACCTGTATTTCCTACTGTTTTCATTTGGTTAGACTAAGGTTGTTTAGGTATTTTAATCTTGCTCTGGATTTATATTCTGCCCTGTCCTGAAGACCCCAGCAGTTTAATTGTGTTGAGAGAAACATTATGTTGTCTGTCCATTTCAGTAACAAATCTAGACCTAACTCAGGAGTTTCTGAGATAAGACTCTTGTCTGTTTTAAGGCTAAATTGAGAGAGGAGGGAGACACTAGAGGGGGGAAGAAGAGAGAGATATTGTCTGTGAGTTTCATGAGCTCATGCAGTAGGCTTATGTTTGTGAAAGTATCAATCAGTGCTGCTAGAGCCATATTCCCTTCTATTTTTCCTGTGGTGGGATTAACCATGCTTATGCTTTTCATCTCAATTGCAGGTGTGTTCATCCTCGAGGAGGTGTGATTCAGAGTGTCTCCTCATGGAAGCACGGTTCTGGCACGCAGTATGTCAGCACCCGGCAAACACAGTCATGGACTGCTGTGACTCCCCAGCAGACTTGGGCTTCACCTGCGGAAGTTGTTGATCTTACCTTGGATGAGGATAGCAGACGTAAATACCTACTGTAATACAATGTCACTGTGTTTCCTCTGCACTGTTCCCTTCTACTTCCTCCTCCTCCTCTTTGTGACATGGAAGTTCATTGTCATAGCTTCAGCCTCAGAAGCTGTTTGTGGCATTTGTATAATCGAAACTCATGGAAAATTGCCCCCCCCACACCTTTTTTTTTTTTTTAAATTAAAAGAAGTCACTTAGGAAAATAACCTAGCACAGAGAAAAGAATTTTTTCTTTCCCTCAGTAGGAATATGAGAATGATGAATTTATTAGACAGCTTCATTTTACTTGGTGACTTTTGATCTTAGGAAACTCTTCCTCCTAGAATAATATTTTAATTACTAAGTGAAATGGATTTCAGTTTTTGAATCTTGTATTTATTTTTCTGTGTAATAAAATTAATATCTAGACTTGACCACTGTCAGCCCACCCATTGGCACTCCTACCTTAGGGCATTTGCACACATTTAGTCAGGTCCTTCTTGGCACCTAGTAGGGCATGTGCATTTGAAAACCTGTCCTTAAAAATAGAAGACAGAAGTATTACTTTTCTTTTAGCTTAAGTCTTCTGCCTTCTTTCCTGACTTTGCTCCTGGCTGACTTCCCACAACACAAATAATTGATATGGCCCTTTGTGTTTATAAATACTGCTAAGGTGACTTAGTTGGTCTCCTTGTTGCAATAATTCATAACTCTTTGGAAAATGTCTGCTTTTGGGGCAGAGGCATTTCAGATAGATACCCACCATGAGGTTTTCTGGGCATGCGAGGAGAGTATTGAGAGATCAGTAGGAAAATCTCTCTCCATCAGCTTTTTTTCCCTGGTTTGTTCAAATAATGGGAGAACACAGAAACCTACTACTTAGGTAGAATATGAAAAGTTGTGTTCACCTCTAAGACTGTGGGCACTTATAAGTCTGAGAAGACTGTGCCTTCTTTCACAGCTGGTCTCTCCAGAGAGGAGGTACAACAATTGTTTAACACTTGAGCTGAAATAGACCTGATGCTGTATTTGGGTATTTTTCTCCTCTACCATCTAAAAGTGGAAAAATCAAACTTTACCGTAAGAAACCAGATGCAAAGCACATAAATGACACTGTAGGTTTTACAGTCTCTAACTAAGCAAAGGGTAGTAGGAGCTTCAGGGAATTTAGGAAATGCCAGTGTTGGAGTTCTGTGGCATTAGTTACTACCTTTTTTCCTATAACATGTTGTAGTTACTAGTGAATTCTTTTACAAGCAATACCTAGTTAGAACACTATGTACTGTGCACAGGGAGGAGTGAAGTACTTTTGGCTTAGAAGACCTCATCTTTTGTTTTTCCGTGGTTTTTGTTTGCTTTTTTTGTTTGTTTCCATATTTGCCATATAACATTGCTGTAGCCCTTTGCTTCCCTCCACAAATGCCTTAGTGGCCCTTCCTTATAAGAGCATGAGAACTACCAATTCAGATGTCTTTCAGTGGACACACATGTCCCAATGTCTGTCCTGCATAAGGCACTATGCAGGGTAGGTACGGTGGGGCCACCAAGACAAATGGGGACACCCCTGTGTGCGCATGTCTGCCTGGCTCCACCTGCCTGGCCTCCTCCTCCTCTTCTTCCTCTTCTTCTTCTTCTTTTAAAGACTCATTTAGTCCTTTATCCTTCTTCTGCTGCTTTAGTTCGTCCATGTACCTTTTCCATGGGAGTGGATGGAAACATGTGTTCTTTGATCTTCTCTGATAACATCTCATTTGATCTGGCCTCTGTTATTCATCAACTTTTTATTTTCCCGTCAATCTACTTTTAATAGACCAGGCTTTTAAAAGATCATGAACCTCCAGTTTTAGCACCTCATATATCAAGTCTCTCACGTGGCCACAATTCTAGACAAAAACCAAAGATCCAGAGGCCAGAGCGAAATAGGACCTTCTGCAGAGTCACTACTGGTGTATCCTTGGACCTTCATATTTTACTTTAGGATTAATTTATTGAATTTTGCTGTTACACATTGTTTTTGACTTGAATTAAAATGCTAGACAAAGCAGAAATGTACAATTTCTGGTCTGTGTTTTCCAGGAAAATCATTGGGAAAAGAATAGAGTGGATTATATGACTTGAAGTTTTTGCAGCTTACTTTTTCCCCAGCATCAGGGCAGAGCCCCATTTTAAAGAATGTTTTCGCATTACCTATTCTTATGTTAATAGTGTGTTTTGTCCAGTTCCACACAGCAGGTGATTTCCCATGACATACTTTCTTTAGCCCCTAATAGTCATCCGCTAAAGAGAATTCTTCTGGTGTGCTGTGTGCACTGTGGATTGGGGGCAGAGAGCAGAGTCATAACCAGGCTCTTCTGTGGCCTTTCACTTTTATACCAGGTTGCACTTTTCCCACACCTGCCCCTGTTCCAGCATCCTGACTACCTGACTTGATGCACCAGAATAGGGATTTAGAAATCAATATGCAAAAGGGGGAGGGGAAGGGATGGTAGAGACAGTCAGCTGTTTTCCCCTATAGGGTTGGGATTTTTCCACCTACTAACTATAGAGAGACTCTGTTTCAACTCTTCATTCATTGCCAGACCCAGAAGAGTTGGGGTGTGGTTTCTGGCAAGGTATTTTACTGATAAAATTCTGTGGGAAACAACTCCTGTGACATTTGAAATTTCTTTTAAAGTGATTGTTGTTAACCCAAGTGTTGCATTTGGTAGCATAAATACTTCTTTATGCTTCACAGAACATAATCTCTCTGCTAAAGTGGTGCACTTGGGTCACAGATTTGATTGTGGCACGAATTCAGTTAAGTCCCTCCCTGCCCTCCAGTTTGAAACCACAGAGCAGGATCTGGCTATCGCATCAACGTGGCTGCCCTAGAACACGTATGTGCTGCTCACTAGCAGCTGTTCTTTCATTCTGATGGAAGGGGCCAGACTGAATGGACTCCGGTAGTCATTACAGTTGAGCATTGCATAAACCCTGCTTTTATTATTCTCAATTGTGAATATGAACCGTCTGATTTGCTAAGTTAGTCAGTTGTTCACTGTTACTTTTAGCAGATTAGCACCATAGGTAACTTAAAAATGAATTTGTTGCCTGCTTTTTATACTGTGTCACAAGGTTTTTGAAAGAGCTGGGACACAATTTTGTCTTTTAGTTTAAACTTTTTTTTTAAATGCAAGGAGCCCCTAATTTCTGTTTTCCAGTATGTGTATGATGTGACTTCCATGTATATATAAAAATGATTGCGCCCTAACCAAACTTCCTCAGATTGTGCACTGTTTGTTTAAAATAATCACGTATTTTAGTCCAATGCTGTTGTATTTTTCATTTTATTTAAAACACTACATACTTCTTATTCTTTTAACAAATTTTAAAGGGTAGTGATCTTAAAAGAAAAATCACTGGATAACTAGGAAATATTTTTGTTGTTGTTTTGTTTTGTTTTTTAAAGAGTACAAAGGTCCTATGAAGCCTTTTGCTCCTCTTACCATGAAAATGAAATGTTAGCCATTGTATGGCTAGGAACCAATGCACTTGGTGGTTAACAGGTCTGCTGTTGCTGGAGTGTGAGCGTGGACTTGATGCAGTGACGACAAATCATTGCTTAGAATTAATGTTTTAAAATGTGCAACTCTAGTTTTTAAAACAAAATTTGGTTCTTCTTTACATTCATTATTTAGTTTTTGTTTCCATTTAGTATTTAATGGTCTTTGGAGAAAAAAAAATAATAAAACAGAGTGTTATATATATATTTTTTGGTGCAAGATAAGATTTTCTGTTTTTTGAAACAAGTCTGTAGCATAAAGGTTAAACTATTTTAAGACAAAATAAAATAGAGTGTATTTAAACAATGATAATTTCTGAGGATTTTTTTTCTATCTGCTTCAGTTAATTAGATGGTGCCTGGAGCAGCTTCTGAGTTAGCTTTTGGATGTGAAAGTGGATTATATTTTGTTAACAGATCTTACTGGTATGCCAACTTTTTCCAAGCAACAGCTGTATCCTCCTCCCAGGATGTTTTGCATGTGGCCGTTGGTGTGTTAGATCTGGGTAAAAGTAGCTCTGCACTGGCTTTCCTGTAGCCCTGCCTCCCTTCCCAGCTGGGACCAGTGAGGTTTCAGAGAGAGCCCACAGCTTCCTAGTGCTAGGTGCCTTTGCTCCTGGGCAGAAAACTCAGCGGACAGTTACTTCCCAGGAACCAGCACCAGATGCCCAACTGCATGCACTTTGCATGTGGTTGAACATCTAATCAAATATAGAGGATTTCAAAGCAGTCTGAAGATCTTCTCCTTTAATTTGGTTCTATTTTCAGGGGTTTTATTTGGCTATAAAAATTATAGGAACTACCATATTAACATCCCATGACTTTTTTCACTTACCTTCATGTAAAAGGGAACAAGGAATGAGACTATCTTTACTAAAATACCACTCCTGGATCTCCTCATGTTCCTCAGGAATTCTTAGTTCTACTTGCACTGTAAAGAGGTCTGTTAATGAGGAAGTACACCGTTAACAGTTGGGAAGTGTTTTCAGCATTCTGGAACAGTTCTGTTGTACTACCTTGTATCTGAAACCTTGACATATTAGTGCCTGTGAGAGACTCTTCTTGAGATTCCAGGCCTTGCTTTTGATCCCTTTTGCCCTTGGCTGCTGCTTTTGTAGAATGAGTAAGTAAAATAATTTGTGGCTAGTTCTTAATCTCATTCTACCTTCCTCCTCCTGTGCTTGTATGCTTGGCTGGCTTTTGGCCTCGCCTTTCCTTATTGGTGTGTTTTTCACGGTAGATGACAGCTATTTATAACTTTACTCCTGAGAAAAATTATAGATAAATCTTGACCAAATACATAAATAGCTCTTTGGCTTCAGTTTTGTATCTGAAGTACAGTGAATCTATTTTAGGTTTTGTTGTGTGTGTGTGTGTGTTTGTGTTTAAAGATTTTATTTATTTAACACAGAGAGAGTGTGCACAAGTGTGAGGAGTGGCGGAGGGAGAAGCGGGCTCTTGGCAGGGAGCCCGATGCAAGACTCGATCTGAGGGCCCTGGGATAATGACCTGAGCAGAAGACAGACACTTCACTGACTGAGCCACCCAGGTGCCCCTAAGTTTGGTTGTTTTAACTCTATTACTCATCTAGGAAGGACTGGTCTTCCTAGTCATTGGTAGGTATGATTTTCTTTACTTCCTTGACTCCATGTTTGAGAGCACCAAGTCACAGAGGCTGGGAAGTTCCTGGGCTACAGTAGAGCTTTGGCTGGGAGAATCTGCTTGGAGCAGAAGAAAGCCGTAGAAAATACTGGAAGGAACAGTGAGCTTGGACAAAGATGCAGAGGATGATTGTGCGGATCCCAGAGCTGCAGAAAGAGCACCCATTTGCTCCAGAGGCTGTGGCACTGTTTGGCTCAGGGCTGCCATGGCACATCTCTGCACAGGTGCAGGCCTTGTAGACGGAGGTGGCTTTAGGCAGGGATCCGTTTGTATGATGAGGAGTCACTGTTTCAGCCTAGCCTTGAGATTCCCATTTGGTGGGATGGGTGAGTGAAGGGTCAGCGTGAGTGCTGACAGCGAAGTCAGACCTCAGAAGGGAGGTGTGGCAGCAGCAACCCATGTGACCTTGGAGACTCTGGCCTGCTGGTTGGGAATACTCTTTGCTTGTAAATTATATCCATCTTGCTTCATATTCTTTGGTGAAAAATCTCTATGATACCAGCTTTTTCCTTCGTGCTTTGGTAAATGACACCCGAGAGGAGTCATTTCTGTTTCCTTTCCGTGATGACTCCATCCTAAGAGTGGAAGGGTGAAGTACTGTTAGCTTTTGAGCCCTCACACCTGTGATGGGGTCTGAAGCAAGCAAGTCTGACGTTAGCATGGACCTTGGATGGACCTGGAGCACCAGGGGTCTTTAGACCAGAGGGGAGGGTCTGGTGGCTAGTGTATACAAAGCTGGAACCAGAGACTAGGAGACCCTAGAAAGACCATCTGACCACCTAAGGGAGTAAATTTCTATACTTGTAAAATGAAGAATTTCTTAGATCTCTTTCTTGACACTGAAAGGGCTGTGTTCTTTT